ATTCACAGTTATCAAATATATATACATTGAAGTAAAACAAAAATAACTCAAAATGTCCTTTTTTCTTTTTAGTCCTATTCCTAATTCAATCTTAGCACAATTCTTAAAATGAATTAAGATGTAGAAAGAAAGCAGAAACATATCTAAACTAAAAATTGTTATAGCTACAGTTTTTTTTCTGAAAAGCTTTCCCAACTTTATGCTTTTATCTTAAATTTTATTTTATACACATGACTTTGACAGGAAATGATGGCTTACCTGGAACCTTCCCCACTTGAAATATAGGACTCAATTAAAAATCACAACTTAAGTGAAACTATCGATAATTTAGGGTGAACAGGGCGAGACCACTTACCCCCAGTTGCCACAGTGATTTCACGGAGGAAATGGCCATAAAATGGGAAATCGAAGGACAAATTCACTCTCTGCAAAGAACAACAATCAGAAGAAAAATCAATACTGTGTATAAAAGTAAAATGAAAAGCCTTCCAACTTAAAAAAAAAATGGTGTTTCTCCTTTGTATCATTATTATTAAGTTGACTTTTAAAATCTGAATCTTGCATAATAATAAAGGGGTTTTTTTCTGGTAATTAAACACTTGAAATAAGTGAAAATAACAATGTGGGGCTGTACTGGTCTATCGCTAAGTGCTTTATTTACAAAGGGAATCTGGTTTCAACTCTGAATCAAGTTATTTTATCTATTATTACCATGGCTGTTTTGCTACCCACTACAAATCAATTCCATTACCATGATGAGCAACATATTTTAGGGTTTCTATTAGTTGAACTAGTCCTCCCACAGGAATAGAACACTCTGTCAAGTTTCACTGAGTAACAATCAACATATATTATTTTACAAAATTGCATATACAATTTGTCTTTTCTCCATCCCAAAATGAAAAGCAGTTTTTCAGAACAAGAGATTTTGTACCTAAAGGTGTAAATCTGTTGGAATTTTAAGTTTTTTAATGGATAGGTACTCCAGATTCAGTATAACATGACTACTTTTAAAACTATAATGAAGAAAAAGAATGCTGGTTACTGAAGAGCTACTTTTGTATGGTTGAAAACTGAAGAAAGTAAATATATTTTGTCTTGGTTGGGTATAAAATGGACCTAAGTTTTTGTTACTTTATCTATGACAGAGTGAAAACAAGTAATAACGGAAAACAAAACAAACAAATGAAAAAACCCTAGAATTTTGGTATGTTTTAAATTATCAATATATGAACTAGGATATAACTGTTAGTCAAGAAATAAAAACAGGGCCTCCCTGATGGCCTATGGGTTAAGTCTCAGTGCTGTTGCTGCCACAGTCTGAGAAAGATCCTTGGCCAGGAGCTGACCCACATATGACCCAGCAGACCTCTCCTGTCGCCCCTCAGCAGTGCATTTCAGTAAATCCACCTGTTCTGCACCCCACTTTGTCTCTGGTGAATCCTCTAACCCCCCATGTCCCAGTTCTTCTATGCAAAAATAAGTAAAATTTATTTCTTTTAAAAAAGAAAAGAAACTGTTTAAAAAAAAAAGCTATGATAAACATGATCAGCTGAAATAAAAGTTATCAGAGATAAATTATTTATCTTAGAACCCCATAGCACCTGTAAACTACTTACAATACAAGGTTATTATTTTGAAAATGCAGAAACTTCCATTTTATAGCTCTCCCAATATACAAATTAAAAAAAAGAGAGAGAAGCATATCTAGATTGAATTTACATCTTTCCAATTTTGCAAATGATTGCTTTTTTATATCCATCAGAGATTTCTAATGACTTATTTGGCATGAAATTAATCATTCAAAATTACAGTGACTTTCAATTAGGTTTTCTTTCCTTTTTTTTTAAAAAAAGCTGTATTTTCAGAAAGGGTTTCTCATCATTTTCATTTTGTGCTGACTAATGTGAATAATGAAATTCATTTGCACTGAACCAACTGAAATAAGTGGTTACTAATATCCCTAAAACAAAAGCTTCATTGACAAAATCATATTTCTCAAAGAAGATGCCAGAAATCCTTTCATAAAAGCACTTCCTATGGTACATTGTTTTCCACCATTGTAATTAATTCCCATGCTGATGAGCAAATTGGTAAAATTTACAACCCTTTGGCATTCTTACTTAGAGAATAAGAGTTTGGTTTAAATATATCTCACTGACAAATTCTATCGATTACTACCAAGAAAGAACCACAGGCATATGTCCACACAGTTATTTAACCTTATTTAACCATACTTAAATGCATATTTAAGTATGGTTAGAGTTAGATTCAGATACATTAACATATAAGGTAAAGGTGTTATTGAAAAACAAATGAGTTCTGGGCCCTCCCTGGTCGCGCAGCTGGTTAAAGCACAGCACTAAAAAGCT